GAGAAAATATTTCCAAACCATGTACCTGAAAAGAAAGATTTCCATAATACATAAAAATCTTTTACAACTCAGTAGAAATATAATATTAGTAATAATAATTCAATTTAAAAATGGGAAAAGGAACTGAACAGACACTTCTCCAAAAAGGCATACAAATGGCCTACAGGTATAAGAAATGATGTTCAACATCAATTTATTATTGGGGTAATGCAAATCAAAAGTATAATGAATATCACTTTATATCACACAACTTAAAATGGCTATTATTAAAACATAATAATAATAATAATAATAATAACAGAAACAACAACAAATGTTGGTGAGATTATGGGAAACTGGAACTTTTATACACTATTGCTAAGAATGTAAAATGTTGCAGCTGCTATGGAAAGAAATACAGAGAGTTCTCAAAAAAAATAAAAATAAAATGAATATGATCTGACAATACAAAAGAACTGAAATCAAGATATTAAAGTGATATAAGCACTCCCATGTTCATTGCAGAATTATTTAGAATAGTCAGGACATGGGACAAACTAAATATCCATTGATGGGTGAATGGATAAAGAAAATATAGTATATCCATACAACAAAATATCGTTACGCTTCATAAAAGAAGAAAATCCTTAATTTGTGAACATGTGGATGAACTTGGAGGTCATATGCTAAGTAAAATAAGCCAGTCACGAAGAACAAATACTGACTTGAAAAGAATATTTGAATTGTTTAGAGGTAAAAGAATTACTAAACAACACCTATATCTCTACACATAAACAAACATGTAAAAACATCAATAAAAACGTAAAGGATTTGAACAGCTAAAACAGAAATGTAAACCTTGAAGTTACGTAACTGTATTAATATATGCTCAATTTTTAGAATACTAGGTAAATTAAAATTAAAACAATATACTAAATAAATTGATAGAAAATCTAATATTAGGAAAAAACAAGTAAGACTATATTGCTATAATATATACTAAAGTTCAATATTTAATTTCTAGAAATACTGAAAATGCTCAAAACCCATACATTCCCATGATAAAATTTCTGCATTTGTTAAATTTTAGTAGTAGGTACATAGATTTTCTTTGTGCTTGAAATTTTTCATAATGGTACATGTATCTATCTATCTATCTATCTGTCTATCTATCTATCTATCATCTATCTATCTATCTATCTATCTATCTATCTATCTATCCATCTATCTGTCTAGAGCACAAGTAGAGAGGAGGGATAGAGGGGGAAAGAGAGACAAAATTTTAAGCAGGCTCCATGCTCAGTGCAGAATCTGGTGTCGGGCTCAATCATCCCACAATTATGGGGTCTGTGATCATGACCTGAGCTGAAATTAAGAGTCAGATGCTCAACTGAGCCACTCAGGTGCCCCATAATGGTACTTAAAAACAAACAAAACAAAGCAAGCAAACAGACAAAATATACTTTTAAAAATTATTTATTTAAATTCAAGTTAGTTAACATACAGTGCAGTATTGGGGGGAAAAAACTTTCAAAGCTCATGACAAAATGCAGTAATCTCTTGATTGAATAAGGTATAACATAAGAGGGAGGGTGTATCTTCAGTTCTCCTGACTATCCTATCCCCTGAATCTTAATTCCTTTTTGGAGACCTACCAAGATTCTCATGGAAATGACTCAAAATGACTCCTGGCTTATCAAACACTCTTTAAGTATGAGAAATAGGTATGTAATTAGCATTTGCCCAAACAGCCATTTGTTACTTGATGTTTGTTCAAATTGTTTCCCATCTTCCTACTAATCTAATGTTTACACCCTTCCTAACATCCTCTCACAGTATGAAAATATCTCTATCTGGGACATACATAGTATAATTGGAATGACTTTATATTTTGTATTTTCAAAAGAAACATTATAAAAACAGATTTTTTTAGCCCAATCTTTGCCACTCTTCCTATGACTTCCAGTTTGTGACGATGCATTTACAAGGAGCAATATTGGCCACAGACTTGTTACTACCATGAAATGCTTACAAATGCTATCCTCATAATATGTATAGTAACTGGCATTTTGCTCCACACCTTAGGCTAAATATAAGACTATTGAGGTAATCAGTGATGGTGCATTGACTTTGCCAGGACAATCTGGGTGTATTTCTATTGGCCTGGGATGCCCTTCAGTTTAGCATCTGTTCTGGATTTTTATCAGTTTTAAATAAAGCATTATTATTGCACTATTGCATTTTGCTTATTATTACACAATAATAAATTAAGACGGGTTTGGTAATACTCCTAGTTTCTCACATGGTTTCCATAATAATTTAGTGGAATCACATGCATTTAATAAGGCTTTCACTTTAAAAGGTGTTTGTATCTAAAGAATGATTACCTATATCCATCCCTTTTCTCTCTGCCCTATCCCCAAAGCACTGAACTCCTCTTTAAGGACAGATGTGTAACACTTGAATAAAATAAATGCTCTGAGACAGCAACAGTGAGGGAAAGTAAACTCTTGTGCTCTCTCTCTTAGGAGAAAGGGGGCTGAAATCAGTTCTTCACCCTGGCCGGCCTCTTGCACGAGTTAGTCACAGCGCTGTCCATGCTTTAGCCTATAGTAAGCCCAAGTTTGTCTGGTAGCCATTTGATGGCTCAGTGTTAACTATGAATAATTGCATATTTCTCTGTGATATGTGTGGGAATTCGGGCTTAGCTTGTGAGCTGTCAGAGATAGCTGTCTGAGCACAGTTGTGCTGGAGTTTTTTTGGTTATTGTTTACATGACATCATTCTAAAGCTATTTATTTCCTTGTGTGGCAACACATTTTATTTTTAAAAGAACTCGTCTGATAGCAATGAATCCAAGAAAAACAAAAATAAGTATTTGAGAAAACAATTAGGCATTGCATTTTCTGTTTCTCTAGAAAGTTGGCAATAAGTGTGTTTTTGTGCAAATGTCAGTTAACCTCTCCTGTATTCCGTAAGGGGTGTGGTGATACCTATGGCACTTGAAATATACGATTTTCACATTTTCATCTACTGGAAAAGTTAGTGTGCTAAGCAAATAAGTCAGTCAGAGAAAGACAAATATATGATTTCACTCCTATGTGGAATTTAAGAAACAAAACAGATGAACATAGGGGAAGGGAAGCAAAAATAAGAAAAGAAATAGAGGGAGCAAACTATAGAGACTCAAATAAAGAGAACAAACTGAGGGTTGCTGGTGGGGTAATTGGTGGGGGAAGGGATAATGGGTGATGGGCATTAAGGAAGGCACTTGTTGGGGTGCCTGAATGGCTCAGTCAGTTGGGCGAACGACTTTGGCTCAGGTTATGATCTCACAGTTTGTGGGTTGGAGCCCCACGTCAGGCTCTGTGCTGACAGCCAGCTCAGAGCCTGGAGCCTGTTTCGGATTCTGTCTCTCTCTCTTTCTCTCTGACCCTCCCCTGCTCATGCTGTCTCTCTCTCTCAGAAATAAATAATAACATTAATTTTTTTTTTTTTTTTACAAAAAGGAGGGTATTTGTTGAAATGGGCACTGTGTGTGATATATAAGTGAAAAATCACTTAATTCTGTTCCTAAAATCATTACCACACTATGTTAGCTAATTTGGATTTAAATAATACAAAAAAATAAATTAAAAGGAAAGTTAGTATTTGTGTTTCCAAGTTGGCCTAGCCTCCATGAAGGTGCCCAGTGACCTCTATCTCCTGGTATCGCTACCCAAGTATACTCATCTCCACACAAAGGTTGGTCAGTATGACAAATAGCAGCAGTAATGGTATGTCACATTCAACATAAGGTTAAAAAAGACTATGATTTTCATCTTGAGCTACCTACTCATTCTCTCCCTTTCTTCCTCTCTCCTTCTCTCTTTCTTCTTACTCTGGAGAAAACAGCTGCTGTGAAGAGGCATACATGGGGAGAGACTAAAGCCTTTGGCCAATAGCCAGACAGAAACTGTGGCCTGTCAGCTACTATGGAAGTGAGCATGGTAGCAAATTCTCCAGCCCTAGGTGAGTGTTGAAATAATCGCAGACCCTGCTAACAGCTTGATTGCAACCTTGTGAGAGATCCAGAGCCAGAACCACCCAGTTAATCTGTTCCTAGATTTTCAATGCTCAAAAATAGTTGTTTCCACTTAAATTTTGAGAAAATGTATAATGCATCAAGAGATAACTAATACACTGTTGAGAGAAGACTATGACAATCACAACTATTGAACACGTATAGCTATGGAAAGTGCATTTAAATACCATCCTGTGAAGCTTGACATTTCATTTACATAAAGCGACTGTTCTAAATTAATTTCTCTTATTTTCTATTTCAAGTTTTTCTGTGAATGCACTAGAAAATAAAACAATATCTGTTAGTATGTTTGATTGTTAATAGGATGTTGCAAAGTTAAATATACCAGATTACTGTCACCCTATGAGATGATATAAGTAGGAAATGGATTAATGTTTACAATGGTTAAATGTTTTTAATTCTATTAATAGAATTAAATTCTTTGAAGTGCATTTCGCTGAAGACAAAACATTGTGAATGCTGTTGTAATTCAATTAAAAAGTCCAATAGATGAAAAAAATTATTTGGTTTTGAGGTGACAATATGCATGTCAAATTCAGTTTAAAGCAAAAAAAAAAATCCGAAATTTGGTTTGATAATGATGGAATATATGGAAATTAAGAGATTTTGGAGCAAAAATGTACTTAAACATTGTTTATTTTGTATGCAGATGTAACTTATAACTATGTCCCTGACACAGTGATGCTCTAGTTACTGTAGTTGTCCATATTTATAATTATTTGATATATATAAGTCTAGGATCACTAATTAGAAAAAGTTTGGCCTGAAGCTGATCTTGAATGCCAAAAAGTCTCAAAAATACATACATATTTTCTCATTCTTTTGCTTGTTTCTTTTTTTTTTTTTTTTGGTGGTCAAATGATCCTTTTTTGAAATATTTTCATTTGTAGTTCTTAACTAGCTGGGCATTCCACTGCACCACTACTGATGTCTCCTATCATATCATGAGGGTGACGGCCATCCACATTGCAGCCACAGACTGGTGAGTCCCCAGAATCTCCTTAATGGTTCCAGAGAGTTTTCTGGCTAAAGATTGGTGCTGCCTCTTTTGGGCAGTGTTGACAATCTCATCAACAGTGTTATTTCCACTGTACTTAATGTTTTCCTGCTTCTTTCTGTCTCTTGGCAGTTTCTTGAGGGCTTTGATAATCAGGGCAGAGGCAGAAGGTAGCTTTTCAATTTGGGGCTGTCTGTTCTGAACTGTCAGTTTCATTGTCAACCTCAGATCCTTCCAATCACCAGTTGCCATGGAGATGTCATTACCTACCATTTTTAGAGACAGACCAAGTGGCCTGATCTTGGGGCTAGGGCAGACATGGCATTGACTTTCCCACCAGTGTACTTTACTTAATATGACTTTGATCCTGTTGAGGTAAAATTTAGGCAGCATGGTGTTGAAAACCAAAGAGAGTTGCACCTTGGCCTCCTCCCAGCCAAAAGCCAGAAGCTCTTTTGCTTATCTTTAGATTGAAATTAAGAAAGCCTTTGATATTGTATTATCTATATTTAGCAAGGTATTCAAAAGAATAAATAGCAATAATTAATTGGGCAAGTTTTCCTATTAGAATTAATTATTGGATTAATAATCTCTAAATTTAGGCAAAATAGTAACTGCAAAAAACATATAAACTGAAATACTTTTATATTTGAATAAAATTTAAAACAGAGAATATTCTCCTAGCAAAATGTGCTGTGAGATTTGTAAGTATCCTAACACTGACTGATTAAAAATATTATGATCTATAGAAAATAATCAATTGAAGATTTATTTGTTTGATAGTTTACTCATTTGTGGATGTAGGTATGTATATATACATATGTCCATATCTATTTAGTAGCCATAAAGTTTATCTTTCAAGAAAACTGCAAATAATTTTACGAAAATATTAATATTATTAATGAGAAAAAATGCCCTACAGATATTTTTGAATGGCTAAGAAAGTAAAGTATGGTTTAAGACACTATATAAATTATAGAAATAAGACTCAAGAGCAAAATTAATCAACTTATTTTTAAATATTGAGAAAATCAATATAAAAATGAATACAAAAATATTAATATACCATATAATATGCAATTATATAATACATGACATATTATATGTGTGCATAATAATATATATACAAGGAATGTAATATGATATAATATGGATATCAATATAATGAACTTTCTTGTTTTTATAATAAATAATTATGTTATGGGTTTTCTTTTTTCTGAAATTAAAATTTTGTCAGGACTAATTTATAGATCTACCAATATATCAAAAATATTTGGGTCACCAAATGTTCAAAAATTATTTGATTTTATGTATTATGTATTCTTATTTTTTAATTTTTTAAATATTTACTTACGAGAGAGAGAGACAGAGACAAAGACTGAGACAGAGAAAGAGACACAGTGTGAGCAGGCAAGGGGCAGAGAGACGGACACACAGAATCCGAAGCAGGCTTCAGGCTCCAAGCTGTCAGCACAGAGCCCAAGGCAGGACTCAAACTCACGACCTGTGAGATCATGACCTGAGCTGAAGTTGGATGCTTAATGATCTGAGCCCCTCAGGTGCCCCCCAGATTATTTGATTTTAAATATTTTTAGTGATCCCATTCATTTTACAACTGTTTTGTTTGAGTGAAAAAACAAAGGATCACCCCAGTTATATTAGACACATTTTACAAGTCAGAGTGTAGGCTGGTTCTGTTGACCAAATATAAACACCTCCTCGTTGAATGATAATAATTGAATGGTAAGTAGTAATTGGTTTCATATTAAGAATGTATGCATTCTTATTTACAATTATTGTATATTTCTATAAAATGTGACTTAAGTTCCTATAGCAGAAAAAAGTTTAAAATTATTTACATAAGTATAGAAACTAGTCAAAACTTGAGTTGAAATCAATTTAGGTATAAACATAGCCAACATAATAAGCTGAGATCTAGCTTTATTTTTCCATTTCATGGAGTGAGCTTGAATTTGTCTAGGATTCATCTTAGATTTCACACAATTATTATAGGAAATGTTCTGATTTCTCAAGAAGATTGACATCCAAGTGTGAACCCCAACTGTTTTTGGAAGTATTGTGGAATTGTAAAGGCAAAGTGAGTTAAGCAATCAAGAGGAAATTTAAAATCCTGAAACAATTCAGAAAAGAAGTGAATAAACATGGAAGACTAAAGAGACCCTTATAAATCTGGGACTTGATTGTTTGCCCTTCCAGGGAGCTTTTGTCTTGATAGTAAAGTGTGGTTGCTTTAGATAATATTTTAAAATATGAACCTTTCAATGGCCCGAGTTTCCCAGATTATGTCCAGAGAACTGACAAACCCCGCAGACAATTTATAATCATGGATCCATAAGGACAGGCTTACTTTTATTTATCATTAATTGACATTTCTTTTTCAACCAGTGAAAGACAGTGTAATCATTGCCTCGGATCATCCCTTATTTGGTAATGAAAGGATTGTAGCTGGGAGCCACAATTTTCCCTAGTCATCCCCCTCTCACCTCTTCCCCAATAAATAGAAGGTTTTCCCATTATTAAAAAAATGGGAAAAGCTTAAAAACTTGTCAAGGGGATAAATCCAACATCAACCATATGTCTCAATTTGCCATTCTCTGTCCTTGAGGTCTTCTGGAACGCTCACATTAGGTCAACATAGCTTGTGGCTAATACATACTTCATTTGCACTGTATTTATTTCCTGGTCATGAGAATGAATTATTGCAAGACAAAATGAAGCAAATTCTTCCCAAATCCTGACATTCTGTTGGGGAGTATTAGAAAAAATAAGAGAGATCATTCCTTTGCATCTGGTGAAATTGATTTCAAGGATGTAAGAAAAGGCAGGGTCCTTTCAGAGGCCACTGATATAGATTTCACCTGAACCAGTCTTAGCTGACCTTTCTGTTCCTTTCCAAATCACACCTGGGTAGCCAAATGCAGCTTTGTGAGTGGGTATGGAGTAAAATAGCAAAGGGAGAAATAAGACAAAATCAGACCATAGGAGACTCTTGCAGAGCAGAGTTTTGAGTCTGAGTTAAACCTGAGGAAGTTTGGAGTCACGTGATTTCCAGGCTGTTCATTTGGGCTGACTAACCATCCCACTTGGTTATTCCCAGCTTTAGCACCGAGAGTCCCACATCTCAGGAAACTCCTCAGTTTTGGGCAAATCTGGATGTTGGATACCCTAGCGGTACTGACATTTTGTTAAATGAAATAATAACAAAAGATATGAGAATTGGTATTTCAACCAACGACATGAGAGTAGGGAGAGTATATGGGCTCAAAAGAATTAATGAAGAGGATAGGGTTAAGGATGAAGTCATAAGAAAAATAAATTTGCTTTCTGCCTGCACCAACACATGTAACAGACCATTCCACGTGTCTTGTATATCCATGCACCATGCGTCAGTTATCTATCATGCTGGGGCGAGTATAAGGAAAGCTTAAAACAAGAACATTTTGTATCCTAATGACTGTATATATAAACAAATGTGACACTATTCTCTGTCTTTTTAATCATATTTTTGCCCACAGTAACATTAGGATATGATTTGAGCATTATAGTATTTATTCTGCTTAACTTGGTGCCACAGGCATAAAATCAAGACTTTGCTTTAAAATAAAATAAACTCAACATATCCTAGGAAGAGAACAATGCTTCAAAAGATAAGACTTAATTAGAAATGATATAATGAGTATTCATATAAAAATCAGTGCTTGTATACCTCTAAATATCTCTGTGTTTTTACTACAACTCAAAGACAAATAGTAATAAATAAAATCATTCTTATGTATAAATTCTGTTTCATATTCTAAAACAAACATCAGAGGAAAAGCCCTATTTTTCCCAGAGTTTTGTGCCTGACAAGGTCAACCTCTGGGAGATGATGGAGTATGAAATCAGGTATCAATAAAAATATTTGATACAAGGATACATACATCCCCAAAGAAGTTTGGATATGAAAGGAATCATGTGCTTATGATTTCCCTATCAACATTATTTAAAAAGTAGTCATTTGTTTTAAAAAAAAAACAAGTCATTTAAAATTGCTTTAAAACAAATCAATTTAAAAAATCATTGAAAATAGTGATTATTCCTTAAGAAAGTTACCAAAATATCTTAAAAACTATTACATATTGACATCTTACTTTTTAAACTAAAAGGTATGTGTGCCTGCCCTATTATTTCAATACTCATGACTTTATATCAATATCATTTCTTTAAAATTATAGCCATTGACTTAGATATGCCATTGATAATCCAAATAACTTGTTAGTAGGGAAGAACATACATTATATTAACAGAGGAACAACAAAAGAAACTAATAAGTAACACACTTTTCCTATTCTTCTTTTTGATGACCCAGGAAACCAAGTTTCAAGGGAATCATTTGGTATTGTCTTCCTGCTGTGTAATTTTGAGTCCCTCTTAATAGACTCCAACACATCACTGAAGCACCCTGTGTGGGAGATTCAAACTATTTAAAAAAAAAATTTTTTCTGAATGTTTATATTTGAAGAGGAGGGAGACAGAGCAT